TAGTTAAAAGCAAATCCTCAAGAATGCAGAGTACAACAGTACTGAATCTAATTTGTCACAGAAGAATGGATTGGTTGCAAAAGAAGTACTGTTAAAATAGAATCCACCTTTTTGGTTGCAATTAACTCTGCTTCTAGGGCTTCCACTCGACAAACAGCAGCATGCAGCAGTTCTTCTTTCTCACAGGGCATTACAAATGGCTTTGTTTGAAGAGTATTGACCTTCTCCTCAAGTTTGCCCAATCTATTCAGCACAGAAGAGAGCATTTCTCCCTCTGAAAATGCTGGTGCTGGAGATGGCGGTCGAAATTCCTCCTTCGGGATTGTGTCAAAGGCATTTTCCGCAATGGTTGATTCTTGATGTGATGATGCATCAGGAACCTTTTTCGGTAGATAGCATGATATTGAGCGGAAGAACATGAAAATGGTCATGAAGAATGCCATGAGAGTGGCTAAAATCCGACCATGTAGTCCTTCTGGAGCCTTTTGTGAATCAGGTGCGAGAAACGTTTCTGAATGAAAAATGATGACCAGTATTAGTAAAGCATTCTAGGCAGATTATTCTGCTCCTAGATCAGATTCATTTGTTTATTTCTCTGGACAAGAAAAGGATTTGTACATCCCACCAAAATGGCAGAAATTAATCATTTACAGCAAGCTAAATTGATAAATGACCACCATGAACCATGGAAAAAATGGAACAAAAACTACCCAACCTATAGCTGTAAGCAAAAATAGACAGGCAGATAATAAATTTTGTAAATCTTTTCTTCTGGTTATTTGTGCAACCGCGGACTGCTCATCTATGCAAACAAAGGTAGAAGTAAATGAATTTCTCACTGACAACAATCGCAGTTTTGGCGACAGATTTTGGAGAAAAGTGGTGCAACATTTCTTTGCAAAAATGTATGTACTTATGTTCCAGAGAGAGAAAGAGAGAGATTTACGACATGGATACACATCAATATTCAAATAATAATATATTTCATAGCAGATATTGGATGACTCTGTTGAATTATAAATGATATAGGGAAACAAATGCTGATCAAAAAACTTCTAAGCATGGACTTCAAAACCAACCTTTTGTGACACTAGGCTTCTGAAAGGATACTTGCTTCTTCCAAACAGAATCAACAGCCTTGTCAACCATGGGAACATATTCATTATATCCCGAGAAGTTACCGTAATAGGTTGGTGTTCCACTGGCCTTAGCCTGTGCAACGAGTCAAATATTATTTGAAAATGTCCACTACAAAAAGCATAGTCAATTTTGATCCACCTACTATAATAACAAAAAGTTCTTTCAGCTGAAATTTTCCCCGACAAAAATGGTAATTATTAAATTCTGCGAACACCCAGATCAACTCAACAAAAATACAGAGGTATTCAATTAAGCCACGTCCAATTTTATATTTCCCAATCACAGAAAAACTGAAACATCTACTTGTAAAAATAAACTCTGAACTGAACGTTACCTCCTCACGAACAGGAGTCAACCGAAGATGTGAATAATTCCGGATGGCCTTTGGTGAAGCAAAATCTTCAGCTTCAGAACCAGACTCAGCAGAAGTATCACTGCCTTTAACCTGCTTCAACAACCAAATGATTCCAAGATCTTTTGACTTAAATCTAACATACAATTCACAAGACGGAGGACATACCAATGGGTATTGTGGTTTAGCATAAACAACCTTCCCCTCACTGTTAAGAACTTTAACAACCTGCCTGGCACGTAGTGCTTCACAATTGAATACCATCTACAGCATAATGTCAAGAGATCAATTTTTTTCATTAATCAACCACAACTGCTGACAAGGAAAGTACACGTAATGCACTCATTTTATGTTAAATAAAAAAACTTTCAGCAGGCTGAGAAGGACCTTTAGAATCTCTGGATTTTTCCATGGTCCTTTATCAGAGTGCAGGCAACCCCCTTGATCTGCACAAGTACACATTCCTCCCAAGAATTCTGGCAACTCGCTGCATAAACCCACAAAACCAAATTCAGTCATTCAAACAGAATTCAACAGTAATGTCATCATAAGCAAGATGATGAATGTCAACTCTGATAAGAATGATCCTGTTTACCTGGAATCTATTATTTCAAGCAACTTGTTCTGGTATTTATTTCCAAGAACCTATGATAAATTTCAGAAAAAAGAGAGATTTGAGTTGCAGTCAGTCGCTTAAGGAGGACAATAATGCTTCCAAACAACTAAAGGAAGAATATTGACATACATGAATTTTTGTAGTGGTTCTGGGATCCAGGAAGCTCTTCACAGTATTCCACAGTAGTCTAAATCCTGGACCAGCATTAATGATAAACATTTGATGGAGCGTCTGCACAAATTTGAAGTACAATATATATCACTACCCAAGACTTTGCAAACACTGATAGCACTGATCAAGCTAAAAATCTCAAATTTTACTTCAGGGTAATTATTTCCATCGATATTCTGAAGTCGCATAATGAGTTCACGCGCACTCTTAGTAAAGTTTTTCAAACCCTGAAAATTAACAATGAGCCACATTACATGCAGAAATGAATAATGACTAACAATGTATTTCTGTAATGACAAATTTGTAAAAAATAAAAACTGAACAGCACGAATCATACCACACCATGAACGTCCAAAATCGTCGTGCTTGAATCAATGTGCCTTTTGGCTGCAATGGTACAAGCAGGAAATTTAATTGCGAAGCATTTCTCAAACTCTCTCACGTGGTATTTTATGTAACAGTCCAAGGTCGTAACTTGCATGAGTTTATTGGGATCAACTTTCCCCAATCTCTCAATGTACACCGGCCTTCCCTCCTTATCAACTCCATGATAACCATGCGGGTAGTACTTCAAAACTTCATTCAACTCTTTAAATTCAAAATCCTGGAAGAAAACAAATCAGAATTCCAAAAAAGCAATCTTCACTATGAGAAACCAGGAAATTTGCCAGGTCTACAAGCGACCTTTAAAATTTTCGGCTCTATTACCTCCATAATTGTGTCAGCACCAAAATCTTTCCTCCATTGAATCATATCAGCCCACATCTGCTTGGCTTTTTCAATATCAAACTTCCTTGCTTTCAAAAACCTGAAAGCAATTTTGTCTATATTTTAGAAAAGATTGATAGAAAACTGAATCAAAAGGGAAATCAAAAACAGAACCAAGCGCTCATAAAATAGAAACGCAAAGCTACATTAATATGCTTATATACATTGTCATTCATTCACACACACACACACACACATATTGAAGGATGAAGCTAGCAGTGTGACAATCCACCCTCCAAGGACGTACTAAAATTTTACAAGAAACATTAATCTGTCAGATTGTCTTCAATTCCTCCCCCCCCCCCAACACTAACAGGAAGCACAAAAATACAAGAAACAAAAAGTAATCCCTCAAGTCTGAATCATCACTCAGTCTCACACTATAAATTGACATCGCTTTAGGAAATGGACATATTTTTCGCACTAAAAGATGAATAGTTTAGTTTTATAACAAGAGAGAGTTGTAGAAGAATTATAGGAGGTCATTATCACTACGGAGTCAAACATGGTTTTGGCTTGGGATGCTGATCCTAACAGGTGGGTCATGGAAAAACTTTCTAGCTGTGCATCCTCTGGCAAAGAGTGCATACATCCAAATTAGTGAGACTCAAAATGTGGCGGATAATCCACCCATATGAATGGTAATTTTTCAGTCACCTCCCTTATAAATCCATTCCAACAACATGATGGTCCAGGATGAACTTCATAGTTTTTAATAATAATTGTATGCATTTAAGAAAAAGTAGTCAAGATCAATGAGTAGGAAACCTCAACATCATATGGTAATCATCAAGCTTTGCTGGTAATAACTCATCCAAAATTAAGGCTTGCCGGAATTCATCAACAGCTTTTAGCTCCTCGACATCTCGGATATCCTCAATCGAAACGGAGCTGACTCGACCATCGCTCTTGTTTCTACTTTTCTTCTTCTTCTTCAGAGAATGTTTAAACTTTGAGGATGCATTTAGTGCTTTCTTTTTCAGGGAACCAATTCTTGTCCTCCTTTCATCTTCGGAATTCTCAAAATCAGATCTTCTCTCTCTTCTCTCATCATTACCCGATGAGCCCTCAAAGCCTACCATGTGGAAAGCAAATATAGATATAAAAAATCATTTTAAGTAAAGAAAATGACAGTGTGATTCATAGAAGAAACCAAAGTTAAGTGATTAAAATAAAATACTATCAGAAAACATAGGATTCCGCTTTTTTTGAAAATAATAATCTCATATCGTGGTTCTTTGGTTGACTATTTTAGGACTTAATGCTCATTACAATCCAACACTTTTCTATTAAGAATGCACAATTTTTAGGAACTGATACTTCCACCTCTAAACTAATATTTCTAGGGAAAGGGAAACAAGGTTTAGAGAACCTAGTTCCATGAATGGAGTCATAGATGATCCGCATCTCTCCACGATAATTAGTTCTAGTCGTGCCATTTAAAACCAGTCACATACATACAGAAGCATTTCCAATTGAGGAACAAACAGACAACAAATAAATACAGTATTGTAGCTGGAGCAACAAGAATATCTAAATCAAACATCAAAGGAAGAGGGCTTTACAAACCTCGGGAAGTAACACCACAATTTTGATCCAGAAATTTTCATTAAAAGTAGTAGAAAAGTTCAACTCCATCCCAAGTTCGCCTAATTTCTTCATTTTTTTTTTTAATAAATTTGCCATACTAAGAAAAAAATAAAACTCAATTCAAAACAAAAATCACTTTAACAAGTTAAAGAATTTCATAGACAGAAGCTCTAATTATACAAATTTAATTACATTTAGTTCATACAGAAAACAATTGCTGAAACCCTATTTTATATAAAGTCAACATGATTACAAGACACAAACAATTTACTCACAAGGCCTCGCAAATCGATCCAGCGGTCCAGACATCGAAAATTACCGATCACCAAAACCCTCTCAAAATCGTTGATGATCGTCAATAAATCACTCAAAACAAGTATAACCAAATCTCTGTACACTGAAAAAAATTAGGTCATTTTCAAACTATTAGATCGAAAGTTCAGCTGTTTATTCTATTCAGGTAGAGTAAAAGTAAACCTTCGGAAAGTAATGACACGGATCACGAAGCTGATGTAACCGCTAAAAGGGAGGGAAAGATGGGTATTGTGAAAATAAACTAGATATAAAATTATAAATAAATAACTGTATCGCCGGACTAGATTTAGACGGCGGCGATGGGTTGGGTGAAAACACGTGGCTAAGGGAGCGTGCGTGCGGAGAGCGTGAGAAATTTTGCCGGCGGTGATTGGGGTTAAACGCCAAAGAGGGTGAGAAATTTGTATTTTGGGTCCACACACGGTGCGAAATGTGACATAATCAATAATTAGTCATTTTTCCTATTTTGGTCATTAATTGTTGGATTTGTCATTTTCTTTAAAGAACCACGCTACTTGTACAATGGGGATGATTTTGTTGACATCCTCTCGCACATAGAATGGGTGGGTGGATAATTTTTTCTTTTTTTCAAACACAATGGGACCCGCCACTTTGAGAGGTTATCAACCTCGATTGTATAAGTGGTGTTTCTCTTCTTTAACTTAAGTAATCAAAAATTTAAAAAGCAGTAAAAAAATACAAATCAAGTCCCATAACTTTCAAAAAGTACAAAAAATTGAATTAAAATAATTAAATACATATTAAAATGTAAAAAAATTTAAAATTTTCATTTTCCCTATGCTCACCTATTCATCCCACCTTTTCTATTCCATTCCATCCACTATTAAACACCACCTCCCCAAATACAATTAAGCCTAAGGTGAAGACATCGTCGCCACCACTCTAAAATCTTAATTCACAAAAAAATAATAATATAATAATAAAATAGACTAGATAAAAATTTAGTAGACTAAATCGCAGCCTAGTGGTAGTGGTGATGACAATTGTGCAATCTAAACTTTTTGAAAAGTTATGGAACTCAATTTGCGCACTTTTCTTAATTTTCATTGGTTCACTTGTTTAGTTTAATTTTATTTATATAAAGACAATGACAAAATGGAGAAAATGATAAGTATTTATTACATATTTAAAAAATTGAAGTTGGATTATTCTTTAAAAAAAAAAAGTTGAGCGAAGATTTGTTACATTCCGAAAGGTTTGAGACAAAAAGTGCAAATTTCTCTTTCGTGAATCGCGATTTGAGTATTACCGCTCTTGTTTGAGCCCAATTTTTGGGGAAAAAAAATACATTCTTGAATAGTATTTTGACTCAATGTCAACTACACTTTTTTCAATAAAATAATATTACACACAAATTCAAATTTTTTTCTTATTTTTAACTATACATTTCTCATCAATACACTATTCAAAAATACTTTTTTTTTTTTTTTAACAAAATGGGGCACAAACAAGACGGACACAACGATTTCAATTCAGCATGCAAGACAAAGATAGGGATTGAGACCGGCCAAATTATAATTCTGGGCAGATTAGACGCTCAATATCGCTATTTCACAACCAATTTATAAATTTAGTCAAAATTAAATATTAATTTCAAGTACGTATTCATAATTATTATTTATTTATTATTCACACATTTTTGCGGAATTCGTTACTATATCTCTTTATAAATTAATTGAAAATTTGCCATGTGAAGGCTAAACGATAGGTGTTGGATTACAATTTAAACCTTTGAATTATTAGTAAAGTCAGAAATTAATTAAATATCTTTTTTTTTTGTCAACAAATTAATGATCGATGCTTGTAACCCAGCAACCGAGTACTATTAGTCATCGATCCCACCTAAGCTTTTGTGGGAGATATTATTTGAGAGGAAATTTATTGAGACTTAGTGTGTTGTTAAGAATAGGGACACATTATAGAAAAATGTGGAAATAAATTTTTTAAGATGCATTTAAAAATGAGTAAACAAAATTGATTTAACATAATCACTAAGAGTGCGTTTGATTGTCAATAAAAAAATATTTTTCAAGTAATTTTCTACTTTTATGCTGTTTGATTGACAATGTTTTTCACGAAAAATATTTTCCTACTTTTGGTCACGTAATCATTTTTTTCTTGAAAATTAGGAAAATATTTTTTTTTAGAGAGATGTGGTTTTTATTTTTCAGGTAGTTCACTTTCTCTTTCTCCCTCTCATCTATCTTCTATTTCTCATTTACCCACCAATAAAAAATAGGCAAATATAATATTTTCTATATTAAGACTTAAATCAATTGAACATATTTAATTAATAATTTACATACAATTAATCTCTGGCAATTGAATTACTAAGAATTTATTTTCTTTCATTCAAATTTCATACTTACAATCAAATGCACACTAAATGATAAGTTAGACTCGTATTTCTTTAAGAACATCACTAGAGACTTTCTAAATATAAAATATTTTTTATTTTAAAGAATCAATGCTTAAAAATGAGCTCCAAGAAACTTTATATTTTAATTTTTTAAAATAGAAAATGAGTTTGACTCCCAAATTTAGAGAGTCAAACTTGCCTTCTATTTTTAATGTGCAATAATTACATTTAATAAATCACATATTTCAATACTCTATTCTTAAATTGCTCAATCGATTGGTCAATTGATATATAAAAAATTATGTTAAATAAAATATAAAAAGAAATCAATAATTGTTTCCTATGAAAAGCAAAATGAAGAGAAAGCTTGTTGAAGTGTGTAAAAGCTTTGATTCTCTAAATTTAATGATACTCTTTATAATACTATTAGAATTTGGGGGTGACCTCAATTTATTTGGAAGATTATTGAGAATTCTAATTAAAGTCGACTTAAGAAAAATTATATTTGGAATCCTATTCGAAATCTATTTGGCAAATTCTTGTTAAAATTATATTCAAAAGCCCAATTGAGAGTTGAAAATTGTTTTGGACTTGAAAATGTTAAGATATGGACAAGGAAATTTTTGGGCAAAGCTTTTTCCCGAGACTCAGCACACCAACGCGGCAATGTCATACAGGCAGCTCTCTAGCATTGCCTTACCAGTCGAACGACACACGCCGCAAGCTAGCTACCGCTACTTTCCGGGTCCAATTTCGTTTCGCGTTTTACACACGTTTTCAACATTCATTTCCATCTAGAACTCTACTTTTAGAATTTTAGACGTCATCTATATATATTTAACATTGTATTTTTGATTAAGTTAGACAAAGTTGAAAAAATAAAATTTTTTATTCTTTTTTCATATTGTAATAAAATTTTCTTCACTCTGCAAATTACATTGTTCTCGTGATCAATTAATTTATATTGTGGTTATAATCTCTTATATTTCTTCAAAGTGATATTGGACTAATCCAGTATCATACATAAAATTCTTTTTACAAATAAAGAATCTCTTAGACATACTCTAAAAATGAAAGTTATATAGAGATGTGCCTATTTGTGTGCATGAGGGACTCAAAGCAAATCTTCTTTTGATTTTGTAACTTGTTGGGTAACATGTTGAGTCAATTTTTTGTATACAATATTTTTTTGTCAACGTTCCATGGCTTTTCATCTTTTTATTTATAGTTCACATAATCACAAATATGTAAATCATATAAAAATATTCAGACATATACAAATTATTGGAACACATAATATTTCAAGTAAAGACACAAAAAGTATATCAAAGTGGATAATATATATCCAATCCTGAACAAAGAATCAAACTATATATCAAAAAATAAAATTCATTGAATAGATGCAAACACTAATTCTTATATAACTGAAAGAAACTATAGTGAAAACGAGTTCTGACCTGATATGGATATAAATATAAAATTTGGAGAACCATAACAATTGTGAGGCATAGTAATTCAAAAATATAAATACAAAAAGAAAAATAATTTTTCTTCGACAAATAAATAAGAAAGAAAAAAATAAACTTAAAGAGTATGTAATTTGCTCAATGAAAATTTGGAATCTTGATTTTTTGATTCCACGTAAAATATAAAAAAGGAGAATCAAATACAAAATGAAATTACAAAAAAAAAAAAAAAGCCTTAAGGATAAATAACCAAAAATATATTATCGTTATAATATAAAAGAGACAATCCGCTAGGTACTATTCATTTGTGAAGCATTTTCCTTCCCATTTTATCATCTGTTTTTTCTTACCCATTTTATCATTCCCACAACAAAATGTGGCCGTCTTTATTGACTTAGTATATATATTCATAAAAAATAAAAATAAACCTGCAAACCGACTTAGTGCAAACCGTAAAATGCAGTTGATATTTTATAAAGATCACGTATTGGAGAAGCAAAGCAAAAATAAACATGCAAACCGACTGAAAAGATATTTTTTTAAAAAACAAACAAAGTATATATTTATAAAAAAAAAAATAAACCTGCAAACCGACTTAGTGCAAACCGTCAATTGCAGTTGATATTTTATAAATATCGCGTATTGGAGAAGCAAACCAAATCCTGGTATATCCCTACTAATTCATTCTTCATCACAAATCTTCTGACGTCTCACTCTTTCTCTCTCGCCGTGAAGCTGCAAAACAATCTCAATTGGGTAAGGTTCATACTGTAATTGTAATGGTTATATCATTTCAATGGAGTGCATAAGTCGGTTGTTTACTCATTCTATTAAACATTTTAGCCAGCGTTTATGTAATTTGGATTTTGATGTAATTTGCATTTTATTGTTTCCACTGATTGTGGGCTTACTTGTTGATGGCTATAGCTGTAGAAAATACAGCTGCTGGTTCATAATTGAAGTTTTCCGTTAGTTTTAGTTGATCATGAAGCACCATCATTTTCTTCCCTATGTTCACCCTCTTTCTTTGATTTGTTTAATCCAGAAGTTTCTATCCGCATCATTTTTATCAACCATTTGAGTTCCCAAAATAGTTTTTGCAGTTGGTGTTTTATCTAGCATGTTCTCTGTTGACATATCAGATGATTTTGGCTCTGGACTTCAATCTCCAAACAAGGGTTGGATGTCGTGCACCACGGAGAATTTCCCCCCATACATAAACCACAAAATCAGCTACATAGGAATAGCTAAAATTAAAAAATTTCACTAACTTCAGGCATATTGTAGACTGCTGAATAACATACCATTTAAGAGAAGCGTTGATTGGTAAAATGGCGTCAAAGTCGTTAAGAACTCTAGAGATGGGAGACTATAGCTTTTTGGATTCCTTTTGGCGGGATTAGTAGTGTTAATGAGTCTGGCAGCGATCTCCTGAGCTTTCTGCTTGGCCAACTCGATCACGTTCATGGAAGGTGGAACAATATTGTACGATGGAGGTGGAGGTGACGAGAAACGTATCAGCCTCCGCGTTACGATCGTTGACGAAGTCTTGTGGTCCATGTATTTATACCATGTGCGAAAAACTTAGACTGAGGATTAGGGATAATGTCGAGTAGAAGCAAATAGAAGTCCGTAGCACACGGACGGTGCCCTCCTGCGCCACGGAGAAGACCTCTCCGTGCGTCACGGAGGGGATTCTCCATGGCGCCCGGAGAGGAATCTCTCTCCATGCGCCACGGAGAGGACTATCCGTGCCCCACGGACGCACGGAGAGTTGACAGCCAAATTTTTTTTTGTTTTAATTTGTTACCTTTCTTTTTTGTCCCTCTTCTTTTTTTGGCCAAAAATTCTACTGATTTACGTTTTACAAAAACTATAAATATAATTAAACTTATTACTAATTTAATTCAAAAATATTAGAAAATATTTAATTCCATACATACATGAAAATCAAAATTCCTTTCGGGGGGAACTGGGTTTCAACATTTACATGGGTTGGGTGGGGTTGTATTTCGAACAAACCAACAAGGTTGGGTTGGTTTTGGGTTGGGGCAAAAACCGACCCAACCCAACCCACGCCCACCCCTAATTCTATTAAACATTTTAGCCAGCGTTTATGTAATTTGGATTTTGATGTAATTTGCATTTTATTGTTTCCACTGATTGTGGGCTTACTTGTTGATGGCTATAGCTGTAGAAAATACAGCTCCTGGTTCATAATTGAAGTTTTCCGTTAGTTTTAGTTGATCATGAAGCACCATCATTTTCTTCCCTATGTTCACCCTCGTTCTTTGATTTGTTTGTTCCAGAAGTTTCTATCCGCATCATTTTTATCAACCATTTGAGTTCCCAAAATAGTTTTTGCAGTTGGTGTTTTATCTAGCATGTTCTCTGTTGACATATCAAATGATTTTGGCTCTGGGCTTCAATCTCCAAACAGGGGTTGGACGTCGTGCACCACGGAGAATTTCCCCCATACATAAACCACAAAATCAGCTACATAGGAATAGCTAAAATTAAAAAATTTCACTAACTTCAGGCATATTGTAGACTCCTGAATAACATACCATTTAAGAGAAGCGTTGATTGGTAAAATGGCGTCAAAGTCGTTAAGAACTCTAGAGATGGGAGACTATAGCTTTTTGGATTCCTTTTGGCAGGATTAGTAGTGTTAATGAGTCTGGCAGTGATCTCCTGAGCTTTCTGCTTGGCCAACTCGATCACGTTCATGGAAGGTGGAACACTATTGTACGATGGAGGTGGAGGTGACGAGAAACGTATCAGCCTCCGCGTTACGATCGTTGACGAAGTCTTGTGGTCCATGTATTCATACCATGTGCGAAAAACTTAGACTGAGGATTAGGGATAATGTCGAGTAGAAGCAAACAGAAGTCCGTAGCGCACGGACGGTGCCCTCCCGCGCCATGGAGAAGACCTCTCCGTGCGTCACGGAGGGGATTCTCCATGGCGCCCGGAGAGGAATCTCTCTCCATGCGCCACGGAGAGGACTATCCATGCCCCACGGACGCACGGAGAGTTG